ATCACCACGATTTTAATAGTTTTGGGGTGTTTTTTTGTTAGTTTTTTTACTATATCCTGCCGCCCTAATACAGTCTAGCTATCATTCTAAAGCATATAAGAATAATATTTGTCGCACGTTCTGAAACCTGTTATGTTCATAACTTTTAGGCAGCATGGGGGGAAATCAAGGAGTTTAAAGAATGTTTGGAGGTCAAAGAAATAATATGAGGAATAATAAGTGTGAGGAAGACATGTGTTTATTAAATCTGCAGAATCCAGACGGAGAGAACATATAGCACATTAGCTGCAAATGCTCTCTCCTCTGCCTCTTTCACTCTATAAGGCTGACCTATTTAGCTGAATGCAGCTCTGCCAGAATTGTGTACATTTGTGTGAGTCTGCGTGTGTGTGTGTGAGGTAGTATTTGGCAGGCAGAGAGTGTAGAAGCAGAGAGAGAATCTCAGTGAGGAAGTTGATTTGGAGCCAGACTGTTGAGGAGGAGCCACAAACAAGGATTCATTCTGTTTTCTGACAGTGTATACTGTATATGTGTGCAGGGTTGTGCGTATTTTTCTATATTTGTGTCGTTTTCTGACAGTGAAGTTGTGAATTATGCAACGGTGGGGCGAGTGACGCAACACACAACTGCTGCTGTCTGCAGTGCAGTGTCTCGTTAGTCAGTAAGACACATGTTGGCATCAGGACAAACACACAAACACACACACACACACACACACACACACACACAACCTCCCCTCTTGTTCCTTCCGTTTCGTTTACAGGCACAACTTGAAGTCCTATTTAAGATCCTGTCAGGCTGACTAAAGACTGCTTGTGTTTTGTTTTACTTTTTCTCCTGCATAATCTGCCCCCTGAACAAATTTTTTATCCAGCAGTGCGTGGATTATTAATTATTCCATTTATCTTTGGATCATCTTATCATCCTGGAGGTAAACACAGCAGAAGCAGCGCAGACTCTGGAAGTGATGTATTGTGTTTCTGCATCCAGAGACTGTGTGTTGTTTCTTTTATATTGAATCATCCCTGCTGTTACACCCACTCCATTCAGATCCTGCTGTTGCTCCACTTACTGAACATCAGACTGCAGAGCTCCACTCCCACTCGATGTGAGTCATACATGTAAGGGGAAACAGTTTAACGCTAATCTAATCCAAACGACCAATATAAAATCTAATGATCTCATTTGACAATTTGCAACCATTGTGCAGAGTAACTGTATTCTGCTTCATTAATCACTTGGTCAGATTACTTTGAACTGTAGTGAGTTAATTAATACAAATTACACAGCAATGTTTGTAATCCAGTGCAATCTAATCTGAATACTTTGGGATTACTTCAAGATCAAACATTGAAAATATTACACCTCGAAATGGGCACAGTGACTTCCCATTGTGGGACTCAGATCAGATAATTAGATCCATAATCAACCAACACACACACACACACACACACACACACACACACACACATATTTAACACAATCCTATTTG